ATTGTAAAAATACGAACAAAAGTTTTGCATACGCGGTCTCATTTATTTTGTCTGAAAGGTAGTTGCAATTTTTTACTTGCTGTTGACAGAAGAGAATGTTTAATAAGTACTTTTCTAATTTAGTGTGTCGATTTAAAAAATAAACTTTTAAATGAGTGCTGTAAAATATCCCTTTTTAGTATTTAATCTTAATTGACCTATATGTCAGGGAGGGTTAGCTAGTTTTATTTCGTCATTATACCAGCTTCCAAATTATGTTCAGCTTTAGGCAAATAAAAATTTAAGGAAAATTGCTGATATTTTGTCTTTACGTAAAACTGATCAATTACTTCGTAAAAGAATTTTTATTTTTTTAAATTCACCCAGCCAATTGCTTTATTATAAGTATGTTGGTCTAAGATTAACTTGGCATTCTAAATTATAGTATTTGAAGACATGTTTTTCCTTATGAGTATTATAAACAACACTCTGATCAATTGGAAGCCTAAGAATTCCCTAAACTGTAACATCATCAATGACAAAAGTTTTTATTCGTAAAATCAATTATTATATTAAAAATAATGTCCAGATAATGTTCGTTTTGCAGGAATAGAAAATTTTTGAAATAAAAATTACTTGTTTGGATAGCACTATCTGAGCGTGGAATGTCGAAAGCATTCTTTCGGTCAACAACATCGGCTGCAAAAAAATAAAGCATTTATATCAAAGAATGCTTAGAGAAAAGCCTTAGAGCATTCATCGATGAGTATCATCAAGGTACTTAAGTTACATTTTTTGGCCAGATTTAGCTAGTGTTAATAGGTCTAATGAGGCCGTATCCTGGATAGATGAAAATATCAATTTCGTACCGGTTGATATGAACCCTCCTATTGTCCCCAAAGCCCGGTCAATTGAGACTTTTGAGCATTGACTCAGAATGTATATGAGGGTGGATGGGAGGCCATATGTTCACAACAATTGATTAGATGTATCAATGCGTGTTTGAATTGAAAATTGGTACAACATTTTTACAATTGCTTATGAAGGGTATCAAGACAAAATTGAGAATAATAGCCAACAAGGGATCGGTTTATAAAAGATTATTTTGTTAAAATAAATATTGTATTAATTTAAAAAAAAAATTAAAAAATTTTTGCTTTAGTTTTTTTTTAAATACAGAGCTTTGATTTTTGTGTAACTAATTTCTCCTCTCCCGTTATTTACATTGAAAAGCAAGTCATTTTAGCAAAGTGCAAGGTTTTTCTATACCACTGCATGTAGTTCTCTGTGCATTTACAATTTTTTCTGAGATGCCAAAAACAATAATTTTACATTGTACATCATTGTACCTAGTATTTATATCAAACCTATCATATTTCCAATATGGATATGGTTCATGGGAATCGTTCAACTCATTTATAAATATCTATTAAATCTTCAGCGTAGCCTAAAAAAACTAAACTTCCTACAGATTTCAAGCAGAATATAGCCGTCATTGTTGATAACGGTTTTTAGGCACGTGTTGCGAAACAAAGGCTAAATGGCTTTAGTCAAACGACGCGTTCGTAACAAACGCCGTTATCAAATATTGTCAGCGTCTCGTTGCTAAATCTCTCCCTATTTTATATAAACCAACTGTTAAAAAGTAACTACATGTTCATTATAAATTAAAAGTTCCACTTTTTAAGTTGCTATTACATTAATATTACTAAAAAATACATTAATAAATAAAGACAATATTTCTGTCTGACAGACAAATGAAGACAATATGACAAATGAAGACAAATGAAGACAATATTTCTGTATTTCAGCTAGGGATGGCAAAAATCACGGAAATTTTCAATCCCGGAATTTCGGGATTGAGAAATTTGTCCATGGGAAATCCCGGGATTGAATAGGAAAAAACGCAAATGCAATTGAATACTTTTTAAGCACTTATCAAACACTTAAAAATTATTAATTTAATGATAATTTATAAGTATTATATAAAACAATACTTTAAAATGGTAACACAGTATAAATAAAAATAAAAAAATAATATAAATATGTATGACGTTAAAAAAAACTTTCATAATTCACTCATTTAAAAATTAAAATGAACGGATATAAAACTGGAATTAAAATCGCGCATACTTTTGGAAGCAGAAAATTCAAAATTAAATTAATGTATACCTTCTATTAAAAATTCTTTTTACCAGCAAGCGCCTAAACTTTATCTATTTTTATAATATACTAGTTTTAATATAATACTATATATTATATATAGCATAATATTAAAACTAGTATATTATAAAACATAACAAAAATATAAGCGCTTGCTTGTGGAAAGAGCAAGAGTTTTTAATAAAAGTTATACTTTAATTTTATTTTATTATATATTTTTAGTTTGATATGTATATATATATATATATATATATATATATATATATATATATATATATATATATATATATATATATATATATATATATATATATATATATATATATATATATATATATATATATATATATATATATATATAAACAAACATGTTTACATTTTGCAGACAAGCAATGTTTTGATTTTTTTTTTTTTTTTTGTAAAATGCAGAATATGAGAGTTTTGAAAGGAAAACATTGCAAAGATAATAAATGATTACACAACCAAACAGCTACTATACCAAAGACGATATAAAAATTACTAAACTACAATTATAAGCTTAAACTTTGTCTTTTTTTTGACGATCCCGAAATTCCGGGAAATTTCGGGATCGAGACTAATCCCGGGATTTCGGGATGAACATTTTTTACGAAATCCCGGGATTGCCATCCCTAATTTAAGCTGTCGCAGTTTAATTAAAAGAGGTTAATTTCATAATAATAAAATTTAAAAAAACTTAAAAAAAACCTGAATTAATGAAACTAGTATTAAAAATGTTTAAAATTAAATACACAATTTCATATATATCTTACACACTGTTACATAAATAATATGTTAATATAAATTAACTGCAATTAACAATAACATTTAAAAAAATGTTTGAAGTTCATTGTCGTTGTTAAACATCTTCTTAAGCATTTATTTTTCATACTGATTATTCCCTAAAATAAATTTATGATTAGATAACGATATGATCTCACACAGCCATTTGTTTTAGATATAAAACTTAAAGTTGAACGACCAAGTAGAAAATTAAAAAGTTAAGTAATAAAAAAAAATTGTTATCTATATTTAAAAGTTATCTATATTCAAACTAACTTCAGTCAAATTCCGTACATTACGTTTTATTTAATAATACTCTAAATCATCTGCTTGTATTTAGAATTGATAAAAATTATACCTTCGTCTCTCAAAATCCTCAACGTATTCTATGTAAACAACGTATTCTAAATAAACAAGAAAAAACACACCTTGAAAGCAAGAATTTCAACCAGAAGATTATAAACTACCAATATAAAAATACTACTCATACACAAGGTATCAGAAAGTTTCTGTCTGGAAGGTATTTGTTTTAAAGCACATGAACCACGTCAAGGTTCCTTCCTATTCACATGTACGATTTTTTTAATGCAGAACGATTGAAAGCATATGACAGAAAAATACACAATCAATTAGCAAACTGCTTATTCTCATTTCTATTAATAAAATTGAACATAAAAGAACAGGGAGTGAAATAAAAATGGACTTTAAAAAAACTCTAAAAAAAAAAGCATAAACTTTTAAATATATTAAAAGTTGAAAAAGAAAATTTTGGATATAATAATAAACTTTAGATGTCAACCTTCTAGAAAAATTCCAATGCAAGGTTTACAAACAGTCTATATCGAATGTGATTTCTCTTCTATGACAGTTTAGGGCTCATTTTGATTAGAAAATTTTAACCCAAGCTTTTTAACTCAGATGTTTGCTGCTATGTTGATATGCCTATTTTGATAAATGGACACATTTATCACACAAATTGCGCTTGAGGTTTAAACTAAACACAAACATAAATATAGTAATTTACGTGTTGGTCAATATTGTGCCAGAGGTTTAAACAGAACGCGAACATACATACCGTAATTTAAATGTGAGTGAATATTGTGCTTGAGGTTTAAACAGATTATAAACATACAATTAGTATGCTTATAATCTGCCATATGAGTGAGTCAATATTGCACCTGAGGTTTAAACTAAACACAAACATACATAGAATAACTTACAGGTGAGTCAACATTGCGCTAGAGGTTTAAACAGAACACAAAAATACATGCAGTAACTTTTGGGTGAGTTTATATTGCACTTGAGGTTTAAATAGAATATAAACAAACATATAGTAACTTATTAGTGAGTCAATATTGTGCCAGAGGTTTAAACAGAACACAAACAAAATACAGTAACTTAAGGGTGAATCAACATTGCGTTAGAGGTTTAAACAGAACACAAACAAACAAAGAGTAACTTACGAGTGAGTCAACATTGTGCAAGTGGTTTAAAATGAACACAAATAAACATACAGTAATTTTTGGGTGAGTCAACAGCGCCAGAAGTTTAAACAGAACAAACATACATATAGTAACTTACCAATGAGCTTGACATTATTTTATATACTTGGTTTTTCCTTAAATTTATTTTTATAGTTCCTCTAATAATTAATAATTGTGAGCTGTTAGGCATTCACCAGATAAAGCTGACCTAAAAATGAAATTATAAAAAGCATTCAAAAATTATTCTTTGTTTATTTCGAGTCTATTAATAAATCTACAAACTCAGTTAAACTATATTGTTAAGACAACTTGCAGCTTCTTTCCATGCTTATATTTAAATTCCCGTCTCATTCTGTTATTCACAACACATTAAGGGGGTTGCCACAAATATTCTCATAAATAACAATTTTAAAAACCAATGTATAATATGTGCAAACACATATTATACAAAAATATAAAGTAGTTGTTAGTTGCCTTTAACCATATATATTTAAAATAGGAAAAGCATATTTTAAATAATGAAAGTCTATAAAGATTAAATTTTCTTATATTTAAAACAACTAATTTCTATAGCTGTTTTTAAAACTATATTTTCTAGAAATGAAAAAAATATACTGTATAAATAGTTTATAACTTACTAAATTAGTACAGATTTATCAAATTTTGCATTTTTGATAAGGGCTGTTTCTCCATTAATAAATTTTTTTTGAGATAAGATAAAATGAAAACTGTTTAGCATTTTGACTAATGTTTGATTTATAACTAATTTTTCATTTATGTTGGTGAAAATAATTCTTTTTTTTCACAAGCTAAACAAATCCATGACTTTTCAGCATTAATTTTATTGAATATCTCATCAGATAAATTTTTACATTTTTTATGGTACCATTCGCTGCACATATCACACTGTACCATATGAAGATTAGTATTTTTTGCATGAAACCATACCCAATTTGAACGGCATGAGCAAGAAATTTCTAAAGTGATTATTTTTTCTTCATTTTGATTGGCAAACTGGAAAGGCAGAAAAATGTCTTTTTTTAATGCATTCAATAAAATGTTTTCTAACTTTGTCTTTGTCTAGAGATAAAGCTCCAATATCAAATTTGTGAAGTATGTTTAATGCATTAGCAATTGCAAAAATTCCACAATCCACACCATTAGTTTGTTGTTGACATTTGCGTACATGGATAGTTAATATTTTCCCTTTTGTTTTGTATATATTGCATATTTGCTGCTTAACATGATCCTTTACTTGGCCATGGAAAAGACTGTCATAGTAGAAAATTGTGTCTGCTGGACAATTCACATTAGAAATGGTAATCCAATGATATTGCCCAGTATATAATACTTGAACAAAATCATTCTTTTCCTCACGAAACATATATTTTTCACCTAAAATTGTATCTTGAAACCCAGATTGCATATGAAACTGATTCAAAATAATTTTTTGGGCAGCATTGATACTTATATCTGTCAGCATATCATTGTTTTCAATAGTATCAATTTCAGTTTGTGGTATCACAGGCAGGTTGTTGTCTAACATAATCCATTCAATACTTTCTTCTGTATTATCTGGTTGAAGAATTATATTTTCACTTGCATCTATTTCTTCAGATTTAACTAGTACTCCATGATTTTTATTTACTTCAGTTTTTAAACTGCTTGAGGCTCTCAACTTTTCTGCACCAATTCCATGCCGCCCTGAATATAATGCAACTTTTTTTCTTAAGGGAATGCTTAATACTTGCAACTGACGTTTATTATTTTTAACAGGCTGCAAATGAATACCTTGTTCATTTGGAATGCATTCATCAAATGATTTTTTAACTTTTTTTAGAATATCTATTCCATAATCTAATTTCTCTTCATTTTCAATAAGGTTTTGCTAGTTCTCGAAACAAGGATGCCTTAGTGTTTAGCCACTTATTTTGTTTGGGAAGTAAATCGAATGTTTTTATGCTACAATCTGCTTCTCTGTCTTCTACTTTGTTGTTTGTAAGTAACAGTTCATTTTGTGGTAATAAAGGTTTTCTTTCAAAAGAAATTTCTTTATCCAAGTTCAAAAATGGTGAGTAAATGTATAATTGGGATAAATTGTACCAAGACCATGAGGGAAATTTATTAAAACTGCAAAGAAATGCTTGCAAAAATACCCAGTTCTTTTCCAATCTTGGCAAGTGCAATTCGGCATAGTGACTGAATCGCCAAAGCTAATATGATGGAACTCAGCAGAGTTTGCAAAAGATGAACATGCAAATTTTCCTGTCTCTTTTACAAAAACTCCAGACAGATCAATATGTGAAGCTAGAGACATCTTTTGCAAGCAATGTTTAACAAAGTGTCTTGGTCTATGATGCAAAAATGTGGGTAAGTATGAACTATATCGGCGGAAATTTCCACTTTGTCTTGTATTAATTTTACAATACCTAAATGAAAATGTATGTTTTAATAAGTTGTGTCAAAAAATAGTGTAGCACTAGTATTTGTTACTTAGCAAATTAAGTGAAAAATTTCAATATTTGTTCACTTTTAAATTTTGTTAATGGTAGTTTACCTAAATCGAAACTTAAAATTTTAATATAATAAAAAAAACTTTTTTTATGTCGGAAAATCACTAGAGTAGACTATCAAAATGTATATTAAAGTATATTTAAGATAAGTTGTATTATTTGAACTTTTTTAACTTTATAAATAAATAGTGAACAAAACAGTTAATATAGAACACTTTTGTATGTTTAAATAAAAAACCTTTGCATTATTTTGATAAAACTATATTTAATATAGTTTTATCAAAATAATGCATAATGCATAAAGATCATAAGATTACTTTTTTATTAATAGCCTATACTATTACTAAATATTCTCTTCTATTTATAAAAATAAAATAAAATACTAACTACCTATTATATAAATCTGGAAAGTAGTTTTCAATAAGAATAGTTGATAAACAAGAGTTACTATGCTTTTTCAGATATGAATGTTTGAAGGTTTCATTTTGACGTTCAACTCCATTGTTAGTATTGATACTGACCATTAATTTGTCTTTACGATACAAGTATGCCCATCTCTATAAATAAAATTGACTTTGCGGTTTGGAAACTTGCACCTACCCCATACCGCAAAGTCTGGTGGTGTCTTTAGGTCCGCAAATTTTGTAATTTATTCCACATAATTATTTTAAGCATAAATAATTATTTTTTTGTTAGTATAATTAAATTTAATAATAATTTTGGCCATGCTTTCTTGTTTGTTTTATATAGCCGAAAGGATTATATTAACTTGAAGGAACTTAAACTCTTATCGTCTCCCGATATCATATGATAAGATATCGGGAGACGATAAGAGATTAAGTTTGTTACAAGAATCTAATCTCATTTATGGTAATTTGATAATTTTATGGTATTATATAATTTTTAATACATGTTATATAATTTTGTGGATTTGTTATTTTTCCAAAATTGATAGTTTTGTTTTATTTTTATTATTTTGAGTTATTAAAGTAATTATTAGTATATGATATTTTTAGAAGGAAAGTGGATATGTGCAGAATCATACGAGGAAATACTCGCTTTAATTCAAAACTATGAAACAGAAACTGTGTCAAAGTTTTCATGCTACTCTGCTAACAAAAACTTTGGTAATATAGGTAAGAAAAAGTTTGTCAGTTGCCAAGATATTGCTCACATTGTTTTTTTTTGTGATATTTATAGGTTTCTTTATACAGGATTTTATCTTTGACCTAAAGGGATAAGTGAAAATAGTATGTATTTAGTATTTTACTGTAATCTCTCTTTACTTAACTTCAATTTTCACCAAGATATACAAATTAAATGTGTATATAAATTTTTTCCCTTGTGTTCCTTGTGCATGTTTAAATAATAAAACACTATATTTATTTTAAACACTATATTTAAAAAAGAAGCTTTTATAGATTTTTTTTCTTGTGCAGATTAGGGTGAATACTTAAAAAAATTCAAATGCGCTATATAAATAACTGTTCTTTTATTTTGATAACATTTTATTTTCTACAAAAAAAATGTATTTAAAATAAGGCTCCTAGATACTAACTGTTTTTTTGTTTTTTTTTAAATACAATACTTTATTTTCATGAATAATGTGTGAATATAATATACACATTATTCATGAAAATAAAGGATTGTATTTCATGAATAGTAGTTACATGTTTATAATTGTTTAATACATGTTTAAAATTGTATAAGACTACTGTAGAACCTTGTTTATGCTTTTCATTAAATTAAAGCCTCAATTATAAATTATTGCATTACATTTCAAAATTTGAAATAATTGTTAATTTCAAAAAATCAGACTTCTAGCACTAATTTTTTAACGAAAATTTTTTAATCTAGCACTAATTTTTTAACGAAACCTAAAAAAAAAAAAAGAATTTTTCAAATTTTTTTTATATTTATTTTCATAGGGTTTATTATTTTTTAAGTTTGGTTTCTTATAAGACCCAAGTTAACATAAATTTAAAGAATATTTTTTTTATATATAACATTTAACAAATCTAATTTTTAAGACTCTTGTTCAAGTAATATATATAATATATATATATATATATATATATATATATATATATATATATATATATATATATATATATATAAATATATATATATATATATATATATATATATATATATATATATATATATAAATATATATATATATATATATATATATATATATATATATATATATATATATATATATATATATATATATATATATATATATATATATATATATATATATATATATATATATATATATATTAGGTTGACTTATAAAAAAACATTTTTTAAAAATGTCTACTGGTTCCCCCTAAATGTGTTCCATGTAATAAATTTATACTAAATATAAAATTTTATTATAGAAAAAAGTTTTTTGGGTTTGCTCAAGACCCTTGTACATCAGATCTTTATGGTCTAATATTCTGAAAAAGTTCTTCGAAAGCATATCATGGTATGTCTCTGAATAAGCGAAATTGTATAAAAATTTAAAAAATAATTTTAAAAATGCTTTTAATAAACTTTATTTTTCAGAATAATAGTGACTCGTCTAATGTTTAAAAGTCTTGAGCAACCCTTAAAAAAAAATTAATTCAAAATTTATTTTAATTTAGTATTAATTTATTACATAGAACACATTTTGGGGTACCAGCAGACAATTTCAATAAATGATGTTTTATGAGCCAACCTAAGATATATATATATATATATATATATATATATATATATATATATATATATATATATATATATATATATATATATATATATATATATATATATATATATATATATTTAACCCTCATAATTAGAGTCGGCATTCGGCAATGCCTACCTAACTGCTGACCTGAAAGTGTTTTAGGTTGGCAAAAAATAGCCGACCTCGTTTCAAATGGTCAGACCTTTGTATCAAATAATTTTTGCCGACCTGATAAAAATTATTTGATACAAATACCTGACCTGACTGAAAAAAAGATTGAGAAAAATTGAGTGATTAGGCTAACAGTTTTTTTCTATGATGCAAAAATGCTTAAAAAGTGTTCACAGTCATCCTGATTGACAATAACTTACAAGGTTGCAACATGTTGCAAACTTATTGATTACATGTTGTAAGCTTGTGCAAAGTAGTTTATGAAATGATATGTTGAACATGTTAGTAAAAAAACTAGTTTGCAACATTTATATTGTCTTACTAACTTTGAATAACTCAATTGTCATAATAATTTTTAAAGTAATTTTTTTTAGTCAAAAATATTGTGAACATGTTTATAATTTAATGCAATTAATTAACATCATTTATAGTTGATGGAGTCCCCTTTTGCACTACAGGTTAAATGTGCTAGTAGTAGTAAAACATTTGGATTGCAATCAGAAGCTAGGGGTTCAAATTACCTCAATCTATTTCTCCACACAACGCCTTTTATAAAAATTTTAGTTGTTAATGTTGTTTGTTAGTAAAAATGGTAATGATTGAGACAAAATATTTTTTAAAAAATGAGTTGCTCCCTTGACTGAAGTGGTCATTGGAGCAAATCGGGAGGTGAATTTATGAAATTAAAAAAAAAATTATTGTACTCAAACAATTATAAAAATTTGGTATTTTGATCGGTTTTTTAAAAAAAAACATTTGGGTAAGATTTTCTTTTAAAAACCATGTGTTTTTTCCAACCCTGTCATATAGCCTGACTCGCAAGGGAGTGTTGCTACATTGACTGAAGATTTGGTTAGGGTCAGCATCAAGTGTATAGTTAGGGTTAGAACAAGGTTTAAATATGGTTTCGTTACTGTAATTAATTGATTTTAAATCATAAAAAAAAGTAAAAAACAACAAACATAACGAGAGCAAAAAAAACATATCCCCATAAACGCTGACTAGGAGTATATATATTACATATATATATATATATATATATATATATATATATATATATATATATATATATATATATATATATATATATATATATATATATATATATATATATATATATATATATATATGTATATATGTATATATATGTATGTGTGTGTATATATATATATATATATATATATATATATATATATATATATATATATATATATATATATATATATATATATATATATATATATATATATATATATATATATATATATATATATATATATAAATATATATATATATATTATATACATACATTTAAATAAACATATTTATATATATAGATGCAGTCAAAGTTGAATGCTCAGCTGTCGAAAGCACCGAAGATGAGGATGAGATTGTTGTAGAAGCATTAAGCAATAATTTTTTATTTGTTTATCAAACTGAAGAAATGCAGAGGTTGTTAAAAATATATGGCAATGAAATTACCCTTTTAGATGCCACTTACAAAACAACAAAATATTCTTTACCACTCTTTTTTCTTGTTGTAAAAACAAATGTCGATTATCAGATAGTAGGTACCTTTATTTGTGAAGGAGAGTCAACGAAAAATATTCAAAGTGGTCTTGCTAAAATAAAAGAATGGAATCCTAATTAAAATCCTTTATATTTTATGGTTGGTTGTTGTGCTGAAGAAATTAATGCTATTGAGTCTTTACATCAAGGTATTTCAAGATTTTAATAAGCTGCATATTTTATTCCCCTTCTCGGTGTAGTTAAGGCAATTTACAAGTTATTCTAATTCGTTTATTTGGTATAAGCATGGTTTTATCAGCGTATTATGTCCAAAAAAGAGCTTTAAATGTTATTTTTTTTTTGCTTTAGGTTTTTTCAATATCTAAGGAAAATTTTCCTTTTTTATAATATAATTTTCTAAACCTTTTTACTACCCATAATAGTGAATCTAAAGAACACCATTTTTGCGTCTTTTGATCAACTCTGCTCAACGGGGTTAACATGAATTTAGTTGAAATCTTTTGAAAAAGTTCTTTAATTTACTATTGATCTAAGTTCTAATTGGTTCTGACTAGTGATTTTGTCGGTTATCCGTTTCAAAAACCGGATAACAGTTCTCATCAATTTGCGGTTAACGGACTATTCGGTAAATTAGTGACGCTTTCTGAATACAGGATCTTCTAAATTTCAACGAACGTAGCGTTTTAAACTAATTTTTTAAAAATTAATGTTAAAGTGTACATTTTCAAGACAGTGAGTACAATATATATTTTTATTTACAATTATATATTTATAAAAAAACATGGAAAAAGATATATATATTTTTTATATTATAATATAATATACTTTTTTAATTATATAATTAAAAAAGGTAGGAATAATGTACAAGTAAAGTTTAAATGTTTTAATATAAGCGGATGTTTTAAAATCATTCTCTCATATAAAAATATTTGATTTGGAAAAATGAGATGTTATGAAGTAAATTTTTTTAGCGTGTATTTTAAAAACTTATTGTTATGCGGACATAGATGGAAACTTGAAGATAAACTTGAATGTTCTCAAAACAACTTGTTGCGTAAAGATAATATAAAGAATATTTGCTAACACTAAAATACCGCCAAATCTACGAATAAACAAATTCTATTGGTTCAAAAAATACGCTGAATAAGCGGATTAGAGTTCCATGATATTCTGAAGAAACTTTCTTAAAAATGTATTGCTTGAGTTGTAAAAGTAATAAATAAATCTTTGAGATTTTTATTGTAAATTGTTTTAAGAATATATTATCAAACAAAACTGATTAAATTAACATTTAAATTAATAAAAGAAATATAATAATCTTTGAAGATAATAAAAGAAATATAATAATCTTTGATAAATTAACATTTGTCAAACAATAATCGTCATAATTACGATGTTACTTTCTATAAAAATTCGTAAAATTTTTAAGTCGGTTTTTGTTATTCGAAAATAGATATTTGATATTTGAGCAAAATCCAGTTAACAGCAAAACCGGATAACCGGCGAAATCACTAGTTCTGACGTATATTAACTATATAAAATTGTCAAAACACAATATTTCTATCAATTTTCACAAAAAATACTAGAATTCTGACCATAAAAGAGCTTATAATTTATAGAAATTGGCAATAACCAATCTGAACAGATTATATTGTTAAACTATAATGTTCATTTCACCTAAAAAACGTATTTAAAACCTTTTTAAAATTTCGACAAACGATTGTGAATTTAAGAACTTTAAAAAAAAAAAAAAAATCTTTGGTCTAGGTTTTTTTGCTATAAACATTTATATTTTATGATACCGCAAAGTTTATTTTAGTTTTTTTCATCTTTTCATAATTCACTGACCTGATCATTTAACAAAAATATGTCGTAATCAATGAAATATCTTACAGACGCTATAATATTTTAAAATTGCTATAAATACACCAAGTTGCTGAATCATTTTATATTTGAGTGGTTTTATGTTTAAGTAAATCAAGTTTCAACTCGTATATCAAATTTTTTAGAGTGCCAAGTTCTCATATGTGACTTTCATTGGGAACAAGCGTGGGAACGTTGGTTTAATAAAGTAAATAATGGTGCCAGTGACATTAAAGTAGAAATGCTAGCCAAGTTAAGGAAAGTTGCCAGAGCTCAATCAAATGTTGATTTAGCAAAAGCTCTGGAAAACTTAAAAAAAAAGTGAACATTATTTAAATCCAAACCACAAAAATATGTTTAATTGGCTTGAAAAGCAATGGTTACCACATATTGAGGTTTTATTTTACTTTAAAATTTCTTTTCAAGTTCTACACTAAATTTATATATAATTTTGTACCATTTTATTTATAGAGGTGGGCATACTTGTATCGTAAAGACAAATTAATGGTCAGTATCAATACTAACAATGGAGTTGAACGTCAAAATGAAACCTTCAAACATTCATATCTGAAAAAGCATAGTAACTCTTGTTTATCAACTATTCTTATTGAAAACTACTTTCCAGATTTATATAATAGGTAGTTAGTATTTTATTTTATTTTTATAAATAGAAGAGAATATTTAGTAATAGTATAGGCTATTAATAAAAAAGTAATCTTATGATCTTTATGCATTATGCATTATTTTGATAAAACTATATTAAATATAGTTTTATCAAAATAATGCAAAGGTTTTTTATTTAAACATACAAAAGTGTTCTATATTAACTGTTTTGTTCACTATTTATTTATAAAGTTAAAAAAGTTCAAATAATACAACTTATCTTAAATATACTTTAATATACATTTTGATAGTCTACTCTAGTGATTTTCCGACATAAAAAAAGTTTTTTTTATTATATTAAAATTTTAAGTTTCGATTTAGGTAAACTACCATTAACAAAATTTAAAAGTGAACAAATATTGAAATTTTTCACTTAATTTGCTAAGTAACAAATACTAGTGCTACACTATTTTTTGACACAACTTATTAAAACATACATTTTCATTTAGGTATTGTAAAATTAATACAAGACAAAGTGGAAATTTCCGCCGATATAGTTCATACTTACCCACATTTTTGCATCATAGACCAAGACACTTTGTTAAACATTGCTTGCAAAAGATGTCTCTAGCTTCACATATTGATCTGTCTGGAGTTTTTGTAAAAGAGACAGGAAAATTTGCATGTTCATCTTTTGCAAACTCTGCTGAGTTCCATCATATTAGCTTTGGCGATTCAGTCACTATGCCGAATTGCACTTGCCAAGATTGGAAAAGAACTGGGTATTTTTGCAAGCATTTCTTTGCAGTTTTAATAAATTTCCCTCATGGTCTTGGTACAATTTATCCCAATTATACATTTACTCACCATTTTTGAACTTGGATAAAGAAATTTCTTTTGAAAGAAAACCTTTATTACCACAAAATGAACTGTTACTTACAAACAACAAAGTAGAAGACAGAGAAGCAGATTGTAGCATAAAAACATTCGATTTACTTCCCAAACAAAATAAGTGGCTAAACACTAAGGCATCCTTGTTTCGAGAACTAGCAAAACCTTATTGAAAATGAAGAGAAATTAGATTATGGAATAGATATTCTAAAAAAAGTTAAAAAATCATTTGATGAATGCATTCCAAATGAACAAGGTATTCATTTGCAGCCTGTTAAAAATAATAAACGTCAGTTGCAAGTATTAAGCATTCCCTTAAGAAAAAAAGTTGCATTATATTCAGGGCGGCATGGAATTGGTGCAGAAAAGTTGAGAGCCTCAAGCAGTTTAAAAACTGAAGTAAATAAAAATCATGGAGTACTAGTTAAATCTGAAGAAATAGATGCAAGTGAAAATATAATTCTTCAACCAGATAATACAGAAGAAAGTATTGAATGGATTATGTTAGACAACAACCTGCCTGTGATACCACAAACTGAAATTGATACTATTGAAAACAATGATATGCTGACAGATATAAGTATCAATGCTGCCCAAAAAATTATTTTGAATCAGTTTCATATGCAATCTGGGTTTCAAGATACAATTTTAGGTGAAAAATATATGTTTCGTGAGGAAAAGAATGATTTTGTTCAAGTATTATATACTGGGCAATATCATTGGATTACCATTTCTAATGTGAATTGTCCAGCAGACACAATTTTCTACTATGACAGTCTTTTCCATGGCCAAGTAAAGGATCATGTTAAGCAGCAAATATGCAATATATACAAAACAAAAGGGAAAATATTAACTATCCATGTACGCAAATGTCAACAACAAACTAATGGTGTGGATTGTGGAATTTTTGCAATTGCTAATGCATTAAACATACTTCACAAATTTGATATTGGAGCTTTATCTCTAGACAAAGACAAAGTTAGAAAACATTTTATTGAATGCATTAAAAAAAGACATTTTTCTGCCTTTCCAGTTTGCCAATCAAAATGAAGAAAAAATAATCACTTTAGAAATTTCTTGCTCATGCCGTTCAAATTGGGTATGGTTTCATGCAAAAAATACTAATCTTCATATGGTACAGTGTGATATGTGCAGCGAATGGTACCATAAAAAATGTAAAAATTTATCTGATGAGATATTCAATAAAATTAATGCTGAAAAGTCATGGATTTGTTTAGCTTGTGAAAAAAAAGAATTATTTTCACCAACATAAATGAAAAATTAGTTATAAATCAAACATTAGTCAAAATGCTAAACAGTTTTCATTTTATCTTATCTCAAAAAAAATTTATTAATGGAGAAACAGCCCTTATCAAAAATGCAAAATTTGATAAATCTGTACTAATTTAGTAAGTTATAAACTATTTATACAGTATATTTTTTTCATTTCTAGAAAATATAGTTTTAAAAACAGCTATAGAAATTAGTTGTTTTAAATATAAGAAAATTTAATCTTTATAGACTTTCATTATTTAAAATATGCTTTTCCTATTTTAAATATATATGGTTAAAGGCAACTAACAACTACTTTATATTTTTGTATAATATGTGTTTGCACATATTATACATTGGTTTTTAAAATTGTTATTTATGAGAATATTTGTGGCAACCCCCTTAATGTGTTGTGAATAACAGAATGAGACGGGAATTTAAATATAAGCATGGAAAGAAGCTGCAAGTTGTCTTAACAATATAGTTTAACTGAGTTTGTAGATTTATTAATAGACTCGAAATAAACAAAGAATAATTTTTGAATGCTTTTTATAATTTCATTTTTAGGTCAGCTTTATCTGGTGAATGCCTAACAGCTCACAATTATTAATTATTAGAGGAACTATAAAAATAAATTTAAGGAAAAACCAAGTATATAAAATAATGTCAAGCTCATTGGTAAGTTACTATATGTATGTTTGTTCTGTTTAAACTTCTGGCGCTGTTGACTCACCCAAAAATTACTGTATGTTTATTTGTGTTCATTTTAAACCACTTGCACAATGTTGACTCACTCGTAAGTTACTCTTTGTTTGTTTGTGTTCTGTTTAAACCTCTAACGCAATGTTGATTCACCCTTAAGTTACTGTATTTTGTTTGTGTTCTGTTTAAACCTCTGGCACAATATTGACTCACTAATAAGTTACTATATGTTTGTTTATATTCTATTTAAACCTCAAGTGCAATATAAACTCACCCAAAAGTTACTGCATGTATTTTTGTGTTCTGTTTAAACCTCTAGCGCAATGTTGACTCACCTGTAAGTTATTCTATGTATGTTTGTGTTTAGTTTAAACCTCAGGTGCAATATTGACTCACTCATATGGCAGATTATAAGCATACTAATTGTATGTTTATAATCTGTTTAAACCTCAAGCACAATATTCACTCACATTTAAATTACGGTATGTATGTTCGCGTTCTGTTTAAACCTCTGGCACAATATTGACCAACACGTAAATTACTATATTTATGTTTGTGTTTAGTTTAAACCTCAAGCGCAATTTGTGTGATAAATGTGTCCATTTATCAAAATAGGCATATCAACATAGCAGCAAACATCTGAGTTAAAAAGCTTGGGTTAAAATTTTCTAATCAAAATGAGCCCTAAACTGTCATAGAAGAGAAATCACATTCGATATAGACTGTTTGTAAACCTTGCATTGGAATTTTTCTAGAAGGTTGACATCTAAAGTTTATTATTATATCCAAAATTTTCTTTTTCAACTTTTAATATATTTAAAAGTTTATGCTTTTTTTTTTAGAGTTTTTTTAAAGTCCATTTTTATTTCACTCCCTGTTCTTTTATGTTCAATTTTATTAATAGAAATGAGAATAAGCAGTTTGCTAATTGATTGTGTATTTTTCTGTCATATGCTTTCAATCGTTCTGCATTAAAAAAATCGTACATGTGAATAGGAAGGAACCTTGACGTGGTTCATGTGCTTTAAAACAAATACCTTCCAGACAGAAACTTTCTGATACCTTGTGTATGAGTAGTATTTTTATATTGGTAGTTTATAATCTTCTGGTTGAAATTCTTGCTTTCAAGGTGTGTTTTTTCTTGTTTATTTAGAATACGTTGTTTACATAGAATACGTTGAGGATTTTGAGAGACGAAGGTATAATTTTTATCAATTCTAAATACAAGCAGATGATTTAGAGTATTATTAAATAAAACGTAATGTACGGAATTTGACTGAAGTTAGTTTGAATATAGATAACTTTTAAATATAGATAACAATTTTTTTTTATTACTTAACTTTTTAATTTTCTACTTGGTCGTTCAACTTTAAGTTTTATATCTAAAACAAATGGCTGTGTGAGATCATATCGTTATCTAATCATAAATTTATTTTAGGGAATAATCAGTATGAAAAATAAATGCTTAAGAAGATGTTTAACAACGACAATGAACTTCAAACATTTTTTTAAATGTTATTGTTAATTGCAGTTAATTTATATTAACATATTATTTATGTAACAGTGTGTAAGATATATATGAAATTGTGTATTTAATTTTAAACATTTTTAATACTAGTTTCATTAATTCAGGTTTTTTTTAAGTTTTTTTAAATTTTATTATTATGAAATTAACCTCTTTTAATTAAACTGCGACAGCTTAAATTAGGGATGGCAATCCCGGGATTTCGTAAAAAATGTTCATCCCGAAATCCCGGGATTAGTCTCGATCCCGAAATTTCCCGGAATTTCGGGATCGTCAAAAAAAAGACAAAGTTTAAGCTTATAATTGTAGTTTAGTAATTTTTATATCGTCTTTGGTATAGTAGCTGTTTGGTTGTGTAATCATTTATTATCTTTGCAATGTTTTCCTTTCAAAACTCTCATATTCTGCATTTTACAAAAAAAAAAAAAAAAATCAAAACATTGCTTGTCTGCAAAATGTAAACATGTTTGTTTATATATATATATATATATATATATATATATATATATATATATATATATATATATATATATATATATATATATATATATATATATATATACATATCAAACTAAAAATATATAATAAAATAAAATTAAAGTATAACTTTTATTAAAAACTCTTGCTCTTTCCACAAGCAAGCGCTTATATTTTTGTTATGTTTTATAATATACTAGTTTTAATATTATGCTATATATAATATATAGTATTATATTAAAACTAGTATATTATAAAAATAGATAAAGTTTAGGCGCTTGCTGGTAAAAAGAATTTTTAATAGAAGGTATACATTAATTTAATTTTGAATTTTCTGCTTCCAAAAGTATGCGCGATTTTAATTCCAGTTTTATATCCGTTCATTTTAATTTTTAAATGAGTGAATTATGAAAGTTTTTTTTAACGTCATACATATTTATATTATTTTTTTATTTTTATTTATACTGTGTTACCATTTTAAAGTATTGTTTTATATAATACTTATAAATTATCATTAAATTAATAATTTTTAAGTGTTTGATAAGTGCTTAAAAAGTATTCAATTGCATTTGCGTTTTTTCCTATTCAATCCCGGGATTTCCCATGGACAAATTTCTCAATCCCGAAATTCCGGGATTGAAAATTTCCGTGATTTTTGCCATCCCTAGCTGAAATACAGAAATATTGTCTTCATTTGTCTTCATTTGTCATATTGTCTTCATTTGTCTGTCAGACAGAAATATTGTCTTTATTTATTAATGTATTTTTTAGTAATATTAATGTAATAGCAACTTAAAAAGTGGAACTTTTAATTTATAATGAACATGTAGTTACTTTTTAACAGTTGGTTTATATAAAATAGGGAGAGATTTAGCAACGAGACGCTGACAATATTTGACAACGGCGTTTGTTACGAACGCGTCGTTTGACTAAAGCCATTTAGCCTTTGTTTCGCAACACGTGCCTAAAAACCGTTATCAACAATGACGGCTATATTCTGCTTGAAATCTGTAGGAAGTTTAGTTTTTTTAGGCTACGCTGAAGATTTAATAGATATTTATAAATGAGTTGAACGATTCCCATGAACCATATCCATATTGGAAATATGATAGGTTTGATATAAATACTAGGTACAATGATGTACAATGTACAATTATTGTTTTTGGCATCTCAGAAAAAATTGTAAATGCACAGAGAACTACATGCAGTGGTATAGAAAAACCTTGCACTTTGCTAAAATGACTTGCTTTTCAATGTAAATAACGGGAGAGGAGAAATTAGTTACACAAAAATCAAAGCTCTGTATTTAAAAAAAAACTAAAGCAAAAATTTTTTAATTTTTTTTTTAAATTAATACAATATTTATTTTAACAAAATAATCTTTTATAAACCGATCCCTTGTTGGCTATTATTCTCAATTTTGTCTTGATACCCTTCATAAGCAATTGTAAAAATGTTGTACCAATTTTCAATTCAAACACGCATTGATACATCTAATCAATTGTTGTGAACATATGGCCTCCCATCCACCCTCATATACATTCTGAGTCAATGCTCAAAAGTCTCAATTGACCGGGCTTTGGGGACAATAGGAGGGTTCATATCAACCGGTACGAAATTGATATTTTCATCTATCCAGGATACGGCCTCATTAGACCTATTAACACTAGCTAAATCTGGCCAAAAAATGTAACTTAAGTACCTTGATGATACTCATCGATGAATGCTCTAAGGCTTTTCTCTAAGCATTCTTTGATATAAATGCTTTATTTTTTTGCAGCCGATGTTGTTGACCGAAAGAATGCTTTCGACATTCCACGCTCAGATAGTGCTATCCAAACAAGTAATTTTTATTTCAAAAATTTTCTATTCCTGCAAAACGAACATTATCTGGACATTATTTTTAATATAATAATTGATTTTACGAATAAAAACTTTTGTCATTGATGATGTTACAGTTTAGGGAATTCTTAGGCTTCCAATTGATCAGAGTGTTGTTTATAATACTCATAAGGAAAAACATGTCTTCAAATACTATAATTTAGAATGCCAAGTTAATCTTAGACCAACATACTTATAATAAAGCAATTGGCTGGGTGAATTTAAAAAAATAAAAATTCTTTTACGAAGTAATTGATCAGTTTTACGTAAAAACAAAATATCAGCAATTTTCCTTAAATTTTTATTTGCCTAAAACTGAACATAATTTGGAAGCTGGTATAATGACGAAATAAAACTAGCTAACCCTCCCTGACATATAGGTCAATTAAGATTAAATACTAAAAAGGGATATTTTACAGCACTCATTTAAAAGTTTATTTTTTAAATCGACACACTAAATTAGAAAAGTACTTATTAAACATTCTCTTCTGTCAACAGCAAGTAAAATATTGCAACTACCTTTCAGACAAAATAAATGAGACCGCGTATGCAAAACTTTTGTTCGTATTTTTACAATTTTGCTATTGTTTCGCAGTGGAAGCTATTAAAGTTCCACCACTGATATGGAACCATCAGGCCGTAAGAGTCTTAAGAGAAGAAAGAAATATATTATATAAGTGCAAGGGAATGCTAGATAAATTATAATATTTGGACAGATGTCCAGTATTAAGAGGTGGTGTTAAAGAGGGGAGTATTATTCACTAGTTAAGTTAGAGTTAAGTAAGTGTTCTTTAAGTTAGGTTTAAGTAAGTGTTGTTTCAGTGTTCTGTAAGTTTGTGTTAATTATTGTGCTTTGTGTTTGTGGTGTTCTAAATGTTCAAGTTTAATATATGAATTAATGTCTTTCTTTGTATGAATCTGTATTTTCGTAAATATTTTAATTTTCCGTCTTATTTAATTTTGATGTTATTATGTTCTTTGTGATCGTAATCTTTGTTAAAAGCACTTTATAAGATATGTTTTAACATATGTTGATAGAACATATGAGAGTGTGGAGTTTGTTGCTATTTTTGTAAGAACTATGTGCGGGGTGCAGTACAATTATAGCAACACAGTTTGGCTCAGTGGTGTTGGTTCGGGGCAGTATGATGCTTGTTAGGTAAACCAATAAGTTTCTTATATTATTTATAGAGAGACTTATGTATATCTAGAATATTATATATATCGTGTATAATATATCCGATATGCATAGTATGTATGCTATAAAGCTTTAGTGATTACCATCGTAAATTGGAGGTAATAAATTAGTAGTAAATTAGTAGTACAAATTATTGTAGTATAAAAGTAAAACAAGTTGAGGGGAAGGTGCTGCGCGAGTGGAGTTCGGGGTTGAGGTCATCATAATGGTCGAAAGTTGTGGCATGTGACAAACCTTCATCTCGTCAGGGCCATGTCGGAATGTCTAAGCTTGTTTCGAAGAAGTTAAAGTACTAAAACAACTCCATGGCCTACAGCTTAGTTACCACGTGAGGTTTAGATATGTGATGAACTCATACCCGAGGAGTCTCCCATTTCATCTGGTGTGCGTATCGAGAATTATAAGATCATACAGAATAGTGTAGATCATTATAATATGTTCTCACGCAATTATATAATACTGTGAGAGTTGATTTAGAATCTTAGGGGGTTGGGTACGGGAGAGCTGGTTTAGGCATAGAAGTATGTCTAAACCAGCCTAAACACCCATATAAGAACACAATTCTACATATACATGTATACACACCTAATGCATAAACACACGTCCACATACATGCACACGCATATGCGCATATAAACACGCAAACACATGCACACGCAAGTACACATATACTTGTGTGAGTACAACTCTGCATAAAACAGATAAATCAGGTAACGGAGTGAAATAGAGTGAAATAGAGGGGGTTGGGTGCAAGAGTATGAATCCAAATATAAATGTATGTGCACATGTATATGCACATACAAATATATCTGTATGAACACTACCATGTATAAAACAGAGGTCTATACATACTAAGAGGGTAACAGGGTAGGGTGTGCATATATGCATGCAAACACATACATCCCCACATGTCCGCATATACAGATGCATGCATATATGCATGCAAACACGCACAAATGATATACATAAATGAAGTACATACATATATAAACACAACAATTTTCAGATAACGGAGTCGGACCCTAGGGGGTTGGGTATGAGGGGGATAATTAATAGTTTTAAAGATGTTTTTGGTGTAAAGGTTTGAACTAAACCTACCGTTTGTAGCATTTGGCTGTCACTTAGTTCTTCGTCTTTTTGTGTTGTGTCTCCTTCTTTTTTGTCTTCGGGTTCCAGGGTGGTACTGTGCCTTAGTATTTCTAATTCTAATTTATCTACGGTCACGAGAACTTCTTGATTTCGGAACACGTCTTGTGTAAGGAATATGTCTTCCGGTGTGTTTGGACTCTATAATAAAATCTAAGTATGCATAATGTGTAAGAATAGTATGGGGTGCTTTCAATGGTGAATTGTAGTGGCGTGTGGTGTTCAAGTAAACGCTAAATTATAGTGGGGTGGTGATGGTATGACTTATTAAATATGTAAATGTGATAAAGGAAATGTTTTTCTTACCGTGTTGCTGGGTGTTGTAGTAGGGTATATATTTATGTAATTATTCGATGCCATTGTTTGTGTTGTCGTTAATGTGGATTTTTTTATTAAATAAACGTGAAAAAATATATTTCTGAACGCCAAAGTTGCTTTTTCTTCGCTTGTTAGCAGATATCTGATACGAACGAAACGTGTGCACATAAAAATGTAAAACTTCTGTTTTTAGAAATTCCATTGTTCTATCGTTGTAAGTTTTCAATGGTCTATTGTTCTATTTACGTGTCAGAGCTTCTTTAGTCTCCGCGAAAAGAGTTAGGTAATTCTCAAGGTGAGTTTTTCTATCATTTTCCGCGGGAATTATTTTTTGTTATTGTCATCGGTTTTATTTTAGAGACAAGTATTGAAATTGGCTGTCTCTGTAATTCAATGTCTTAGTGGGTATATTTAGAGCAGTTGTTCTAAGGGGGATTTAGATGTTTAATATATTTATGATAATTGTTGTGATAATTATTGATAATTAGGGTTTGGGTTACACGTAGATTCTGGATAAAGTCACGTGTTCCGGTTGGGATAAGGGTTATAGGGGTAAGAAATCATTGGTATTACAATAGGTGGTGATTCGGAATTATGTTACTAATGTTTTTAAGTATATATTTATCATTTAAATGTACCTTACTTTACAATTATATTGTTCGTGAAAACGTCTAAATTATCGGCCAAGAACCTTAATGTATTTTCCACTTCTTCTGTATCTTCTTTATTTATTTTTACTGGTGGTTCTTCGACCACTTTCTGCTCCTTTTCTAATGTTCCCTCACTATCTATAGATGCCTCTAAGTTCCGCTTAGCTGCAATTCTCTCTTGAATATTTTGTCGTCTTCGAACCCTTCTCCTCAATGTCCTTTTTGATGTTAAATCGTGATGGTTCTTAAAAGGAAGGTAAGTAATGAAAGAAAGGTTACGCGAGCAATCATTTTTCTTAGGTTAAGTCACTCGGGTTAGATTATTAGGAATTTATATGGGCTATCCTCAGCGTAGTAGTTACCTACGTGTAGACACCTAAATCATACACATCTCCCTACCTCAATACATCCCCTAATAACACTAATGTTAATAATCCCCATAATCCCCTCCTTCATTAACAAATGATTACAAAACATTACAAAAATGATCACCACGACCAAACATAATAGAAACGAATATCCTAAATTATAAACGTAAATATGACTTAACTATTGATCCTGATATAAAAACATAACAGATGTTTTGAACACAATGAATACATTGCACATAAGAAATATAATCGGCTATCCAACTGTCTCTTCGACTCTAGGAAGGTGTATTAAACTAAATCTGCGATATCCCACCTATCTTACAAACAGATAAAACAACTAAGTTTATCGCGCGTGACAGCAGCTATTGTACTAAAAAACTAATACAAATACAACCTAAAGAAAAATTACTAAAAACTTCATAAATGAAAATACTAATAAAAACAATTTGATTCATTTTTAATTAGAAAAACTTTATTATTAACACTAACGCAAGTAAAACCAAAAGTATAACTATTTTGTTAAATCCATATATGAAAAAATTTGTTTGCAAATATGCTTCGCGCAGTTTTAACCTTTATCGCCTAAAAAACATTTATGCTGCTAACTAATTTTCAAAAAATCTAAAAAGTGTGTATATTGTTAATGTATATTCCAAGTATTGACTATTTAAAAACTAAAAACAAAGAATTACTTATTTATATTAATATCATTCTATTTTTATAAAAAAGAATGATGGAACAGACAGAGTGGGGTTGATTGGCAATAACAATTGTCGCTGACAGGTTAGCGATTTGAGGAGGTCGGATTTCTGACTAGCCCTTCGCTGGCTGATTCAGTGACCCTTCTTCGTTGCTCTCCATCTCACAAGTCTAGTTTCATGATATTCTTGAAATTTAACGGTGATCCTGCATCGTTGAGGTATCAGCATAGAAGCCTGGTCGCCAATAAGTTAACGATTTGAGGAGGTTGGTTCACCGACTGACCCTTCGTTGGCTGATGTGGCGACCCTCTCTCGATGCTTTTATCTTAACTTTCAAGATCCAGCTAAAACAATGAGCAGCCCAAACACATAAATATTTAACACCAGCTGCACATTTAAATAAACTAAAAGAAGTTTTAAAAAAAATTCAAATGAAAAATGACGTAAAAAGTTAAAAAAGAAAACTAACTTAAAAAATTTTTTGTAAAAAAGCAACTTTATTATTAACACTAACGCAAGTAAAACCTAAAGTATAATTATTTTGTTAAATCCATATATGAAAAAATTTGTTAGCAAATATGCTTCGCGCAGTTTTAACCTTTATCGCCTAAAAAACATTTATGCTGCTAACTAATTTTCAAAAAATCTAAAAAGCGTATGTATTGTTAATGTAAATTCCGTCAGGGTTAGGGTCAGGGTTAGGGTTAGGGTTAGGGTTAGCCAGCCAAAACAATGAGCAGCCCAAACACGTAAATATTCAACACCAGCTACACTTCCAAATAAACTAAAAGATTTTTTAAAAAAATTTTAAAAGTGTTTATATCGTTAATTTTAATTCCAAGTATTGGTTGTTTAAAAACAAAGAATTATTTATTTTAATTAATAATATTCTATTTTTATAAAAAAGACTGATGAAAAAGACTGATGGAATAGACAGAGTAAGGCTGATCAGCGATGACACTTAGCACTGATAGGTTAACGATTTGAGGAGGATTGAGTTTTGATAATAAAATTTAAAAAAAGTGACTTCCGCGTCTTTAAACGATATATTAATTTGATTTTGGCGCCTATGTTTGGTTTATTTATTAGATTTTTGTATTATTTATTAGAATTTTAGACTTAAAAA